TTTTATTGTTTTTTTCCTTTTGTAAATGTTTGAACCTTTTTGTAAATATTATCTATTCCATCTTTGGCTATATTTTTTAGTGTAATTGTTTGTTTTTATATATAATTTTTGTGAGCTGTAGGATAACGAAATAAATAAAAAATAAATGTTGTTATACTCTTGCCAAACGTCAAAATTAAGACCAAGTACGTTTTTATTCCGATAGAGTTTGTCCATGTCAAACTGAGCTTTACTATCTTTGACGCCAAACATCAATATTTCGTAACTAATTAAAGCAATATCGAGATAATGTATCAGTCTACCACAATAGACGCGCCGACAGTCTTCTGCTTACGAACGCATAAATCAACGCAAACCACCGGAACCGATATCAGTTTCGTAACCTCTTGTCAATTTGATAATGTTCAAGTGCAGCATTATGTGCAATAAATAGTTATTGAATACATTGTTTGAAGATAAGTTTATTTATTGTATTAGCTATCTTTGAGAGATTCGTGTTTATGATTAAGACTCTTTGTAAGATAATCGACTTCATTAAAAAAAATTATTAAATCCGCAGATTAAGCGTAAAATTCGAAGTTATAACAATATTTAATTTAAAAATTCCAGTGTCTTCAGTGTTTGTAACCTCCGAAACGGATTGACCGAATATTTGTGTGCGGTCTGAAAATAAGTCGTAAACTATTACATACGTAGTAGGTATGTAGCTCTGAATGACAAGGGTGGCACACGCCTAATTTTTCTTAATTTGTTGGAAAAAATTAAAATATACACAACCAGCATTCTACAATAGCTATAATAGTACTGTTATAATCTTTATATGGCAAAACCAACATATTTAACATAATAGTCCTCAAATTTTATAGAACTTTTATATTGTTAAATGTCAACCTTGACATAAAGTTTGTGTAAATGTCATACGAATTTTAATGTGTATTCATACTGTTAGGAAAGGACTATGACCTCAATAGATTACATCAAATAGAATTAAAACGAAATTTTGAAGTAGAATTAAGTAGATCTTGTTTCATGAGGTTTTTCAATTATCAAAAAATCCTATTTGGCTATTCTTATTACTATATGTTATTCGCCTCACTGTTTTGGAATATTTACCTTACAAAAAGTATATATCTAAGTGTACAAATGAAGAACTTTAAGATAATATGCTGAGACCATTCGAATATAACAAAAATAAATGAAAATAAACATTCTAAATTAAATGTAACTCGATCGCCCGAGTTCTGAGATGTTCTAACATTAATTGATGTGAGGATCTGTCAAGTGCGATATTTCTGGTTCTTTTTAATGTTTTGGAACTTTATTGTATATTGATAATTAATTGAAATACATGCGTAACTGACAGTTGTGCTTTTGATTAATTTCGTGTGAGTTCGTCACAGGATTGTCAAGACGTAAAATATAAGGTTAGAATAAATGTGTAGAACAGAGACGAAACTATTGCGCGCTTCGTTTGATTGTGATTGGTCAACAGTATCTCTAGTCCAAATACGCGTTGACACGCGACGTGAAACGTCATGTCAATCATTGTTCCAATCAAATGAACGTCTCGTGTTGTATTACATTCTTACCGCCCGTTAATATTATTAATGAGTTCTAAATGGGAGCTTTGCTGGTACCAGAACCTAGAATTGAAAGTCAATTAAATCAAAAGATATTTCCAACTTCATAAAGCAATTTTAAATTAAATCTTTAAAGACTGATGCACATTCATAGATTTGATTGACATTTCGTAAACAAAGCCCAATTTAGACGCATTAGCCGGGATCGATGATAATAAACTGTCAAGTTTTGGATATTGGTGGCCTATTTAAAAATTTAACACAAGTAAAATTACGTAGAACAATAAATACATACATTATATAATGTTATTACGACTACTTTAATGTAGCAATTTCTTAATGTAATGTAATTTAAAAGATATACTATTCGCTAGTGAGCAGTTTTTTAAATCTAACGATATCCTAGACACGAGGAAGATACAAATCCGCGTACAAGCACGGCAACTTTAGCGTACTAAAACTAACTAAATGTAGGTAACGTTCTGCATGTTTTACGGGTCGCCCTTTACTTGAATTAACTATGCTAGTTTTAACTATAACAGTAACAAATATCTAGCACATCTTCCTACATCATAACTAGCTAACAATACTAATTACAATTGTAAAAGTGATTACATATTCCAAGTAAGGTTCCGCTACACTCGGCCATCGAACTCATTTCCGCTCCTTAGCTCTAAGTTTTTTACCATAATTTAATATTGTAAACAGTCTTTCAATTTATTTAGTTTACGAGGATGTAATTAAAATTTAGTTCGCTGGTAAAGGATATTTTTATTTTGTGTGAATATTACCAGTCAGAATTGTTTTTATATTAATGTTTATATATACACACATATATGATATAGGCGAATCAGATTTGCGTTATAATCATCAGAAAAAACCTGCCCAGCTTCATTAAAAAAATGTAGACAGATATAGGATTATTACAATCGTGACGGTGTTTTTCCAATTTATTTTAATTTATAAGCTAAAAATCGCATACTTCAATTCTCACGTCATCAAAAAAATTTAAATGTATTTATCTATTGTAACTCTATATTATTATTCTTATATTTTCAACAATTTCTAGACGTGTAAAGTTTCCAATTAAATAACTTTCCAGCAAGTGTCATAGTGACAGCCTTGACAATTGACAAGTGTTTTTAAACATCAAAGGAACATGGTGTTCATTGACATGCACCTTATGATAGGCTAAGATTAACCAGACGATACCTGTCGGCCGTCGGCCGTTGACGTGAGAATGTAAACATGTAGTAAGCTATAGTAAATACTCTATTTAGTTCACTGGTTTTCAATAAACACAATTTTGTGACATCAAGCGTGTTATGAAGCAAAAATTATACCTAAAGTATGTTTTTGTATAACCAATTATTTTCGTCAACAAAGAACCTTTTTTACTATTTAAGTATTTGATTCAACTACAAAACGACAGGATACAACTCATTTATACTGATTACTACTCGTAATCAGTTTTAAAGCATTTTTAAAGGAACCCTCTAACGAAAGGACTATATATAACTAAGTCAATAAATTTCTAAATATCGTATCGTTATTACTGTAAAAACCTTTCAAAGGATTATTCGTAAAAGTTATGATGCTTTAGCTAAATTTAATTATTCCACAATTAGCCATTACTACGACGTAACACCGGATATGGTAGCTAATAAATTGTGGCAATTGTAGAGTCGAAAATAACATTCACCGTAAAAAGAACGTTTTAAATAAGCAGAATTAAGGCGGTTAAATAGCGGGTGAAAGAGTGCTATGCAAATAAATAATTACACATAATTTATCATATGTGAAATTTTTATTTTATATTTACCAAGTATATAAACGATTGTTGCAAGTTATAAATATTTTTGTACCTATTTGATTATGTACATCTCTAATCAAACGCAAAAATATTAGTATATGGATATTTCAAAACTAAGGAATCTCCAAACACGTTATTCGTATAAGGAATAATATCCAATTACATAGCAATACCTATCGCCCACCCATTTACTTGCAACACGTCTCCCACGTAATCTTAAATTAAGTATTACTTATTGGTATAAAATAAGTCATTAAATGGTAACTTTACATTAAAAAATTCTATATTCTTCAACTAATTTATAGTCTGTATTCGGAATCCACAGACTATATATACCTACGATTTGAAAAGTAGTTTAAATTTTTAACCTGCATAAAGGTTTAGTGTCTATTTCTATATTCTATATTTTGAGGTAAAGTAAGTCGTGTAGGTGTCGTGTCCGGCGTCCAAGAACATTTGCGTTGATGACATTCCACAAACAAATTCTTAATTAATTCATCACACTAATCTATAATTTGTTACGACTGAATGAGATGCTTCGAAATCTTCTACATACAGAAGTCAATTTATTTTAGGCCGTCATAAAATCACTTCAAAATTGCTTTGTTTTTAAATTAGCTACGTTTTTTACATTGACTGTGTGTATTTAGACGGAATTTTTATGTTTTTGCTTATAGCAAACATTCTCATTTTAATCTACAGATGCAATGTCGTTGTCAAAACGTCGTAAGCGCAGTAAAATATCGCATTTCGTGTTTACGATACAACGCGTTCTATAATTGAGCGATGCGGGAGAGTTCAACACATCGCGGTTCATCTTTTTAGAATACGACACAAATAACATTCTATATTTGTAAATTTATACACGGACAGCTTTAAGAGCGATCATCCACGGTCACTCGTCTACACAATTTTCGTCTTTGTTACGGAATAACAAGTCACATAATTCCATGTATTAGCAAAATGTATAATGCGCTTTTATACTAATTTATAGAATACGGATTCTAAGGTGCTGTTATGCAGGAGCCATGGCGATGACCACATGCAGCAGTGTTTGTAAATAGAACGCATCGTAACTACTCAGTTGTATTTTTATCAACTTAAATTAATGATCGAAGTCCACTGCTTGTTTAGTAGCGGCGTTATGTTGGGAGTTTATTTAGATGCAGTAGTGAACGAATGCAGAGTGATATCCGCGTTATCATTTATTTACTCACATACTTTGGGGCTGTGACATCTTTGAAAGATGTTTCGGTTGTATGTGACATCGTTAGTTCTTGTTTACAAACAACGCTGAACTTTTTGTTCGTTCATTGTTTAGATACTAATTGCGAACAAATGCATTCTCCCAGTTTTCACTGTATCTAAGCGTGTGAAAGTATCGCTTATGAGATTCTTAGCGTGTATTTGCCTCATTCATTACTATTTTGAGAAGTCTATAATCACGCTTATCTCGGCGCAAACAAGGCAACAGTGGTCCAAGAGCCATCTGTTCGTTGCACCCATAAAGATAACGAAATTGTTCAAACGGGAACGATATGCATTTTGTGTCGGGCCCTTGCGCAGAGCTCTCGTTCGCGCGAAAAATCCGCCATTTTATACAAACTATGTGCTCCATATTCGATCGTACGGTGCGTTGTTTGATTTTCTGTATGAGATGTGGTTTATTTTTGATCGCGTTGTCCTATTTAATCCGTTATGGCGCGCCGCGTGCGCTCTCATCAGTCTAGTAGTGTTGCTTGACGTGTATACTTTCAATATTTCAAAATGCTTAAATATATAGTGAATAAGTTTAAAAAGGTTTCATCTAATTGCAACTTGTTTACTTCGAACTATGTAAATATTATTTAAAGCGATTTTTGGTGAGTTTTCAAACTTATATTCAAGGTTTATCTGTTTTGTTATAGATTTATCCGGACCCGGAATCGGAGAAGGCTATAATGGGTTCAGTGGTGTACTGCATTCACCACAAAGAAGGGTGTCAATGGTCCGACGAGCTTCGCAAGTTGAAGGTATGTTGAGAATAGTAAACATAGTTAAGATAAATTGTAATCAGGTGAGCGATAAAACGGCTCACATTTGGGGGCTCTCCGTGTTTGGCATATTTTTTTATCAGATGTTTTATTGAGTAAACAGATTTTTAGACGATAAACATTCTTTACTGAATGAGGAATCAGCGATAATAGTATATAAATACATTTCAGTACAGTAACAAGTAGTAATTAGGTCTTTGAAGGTATTGTAATTTTATCAATTCTCAGATAGATGCATCGAACTCAGAACAAAGTTAAAATGATAATTTCTGTTGATATGTATAAAGTGATAAGCTTGATTTACAACTGTTAAGTAGGACACTATCGTAATATTATGACACGGTGTCAGCATGTTTTATTGATAAATATATTCACACACATTTTCACATAAAATTTGATTTATTTTTTGGCCTAAATTTAGCTCAAGCATTTATGTTGTATTTACCTTAAAAGCGTATGTGTTTGATGGATTTGTAAGTTAAAGTAACAACTTAATCGACACTCCATATTAAATTTTAGTTTTACCTACTGTTTAATTTCGACGTTTTATTTACTTAACAAATAAAATAAGTTTAGTGCTTATCCACCGTTTTGAAAATTAAATAACGTTTATGTTATTCCTTTCTTTTGTTTCTCATTCCAGGCGCATTTAAACACTTGCAAGCACGATGCAGTGCTCTGCGCAGCGCAGTGCGGTGCGATGATCCCGCGCGTGTTAATGCAAGACCACCTGCGTTACACCTGCCCTCGTCGCCGCGCCAATTGTGAGCACTGTGCTAAGGAGTTCTCCGGCAGTGCGCTTGAGGTAATTTTTCTGATCCTTAAAAACAAATAGAGAGAGAGAACTTATGAGAATATTATCGAGGTAGACCTATTTGTTTGAACACTGGCTGAGTTCACAAGATCTGCTTGTTATGTTATTAGTTACAATATATACATATATATATATATATATATATATTTTAAATATATATATATACGGTATACATATATATATATTTAAATATATTTTAATTGTTGAGTTTTCCGTGTAGGTTTTATTGTGAAGTTCTATCGTATTAGTAGTAACTGTTAAGATAGAATAGTTATGTGGGAAATAACACAATGAAACACTTCGCTTATTTGACTGAATGTGTTGACTACACATCAATTCACATAAGTTCGCTGGAAAAAATTCTTACAGTAAAAGTTTTCTTACAATCTAAATAATATGTGATAATATAGACAAATAAGGTAGCACTGTAAACCTCCTAAAACATTTTTTAGAAGTTAATAATGGACTTATATTCCAGGAACACCAAGGAAACTGTGGTCACGAGCCAGTCTACTGCGAGAACAAATGCGGCGCTAAAGTGCAGCGCCGTCATACTCAGCAGCACTTGCAGCAACATTGCAGCAAGCGGCTTGTGCCCTGCCGACACTGTGGCCAGAGATACACACAGGTAAGGCACTCTTTTTTAAAATATAGTCGTACTTTTTTCCAAGATTTTATAGGTCAGTTCAGAAACAAAACTTAGCGCGAACCGTATTTTAGACGTACGAATGTCTGACTTAGCGCTAAGTTCTGTCAGAATACGGATACTCTGTTATGTTCCCTAGTTTTAAATAATGCTAACTTTGTGCTTCACTAAGAATATCTGTTTTAAAAATGACTATTTCATTACATACTGGTTTTTTAAAGTTTTTTTTGTTTTACGCTCGTTAACACATTAATAAAAGTTAATTGAACCTATAAAATTGCGATGATTTTAATGTACTATGACTATTACAGGACACAGTGGGCGCCCATGGAGCATCGTGTGCGCGTGCGCCGGTGCCATGTCCACAGCGTTGCGCTGCAGCTCCTGCCAGAGACGAGTTGGATGCTCATCTTCGGGATCACTGCGCCGCTGCCTCTCTGCCCTGTGCCTATAGAGACGCTGGATGTCGATTCAAGGTAAGATAAAAGACATTCATTTCTTTGAAATTTGATAAAAACTCAAAATCATATTTTTACATAACAAAAGAATAATCTCGAACCTCGAATAGCAATGGCGTAGTAAATCAATTCATTTTATAAACAATTTGATATTAATTGATATCTTTAAATTTCAGGGCACTCGCCAAGCTCTTGACCGCCATATTGAAGAAAGCTGCCAGGCGCATTTGGCCCTTGTATGTGGGGTAGCTACCAGACAGGCACGTCAATTGGAATCCCTAAGATCTGCTCTCGCAAAATTAGCCCTAAACCAGTCTGGGGCTCTTGTCTGGAGAATATCTGACTTCGCTGCGAAGATGGCCGAAGCCAAATGCAAGGAGGGCGTCGAACTTGTATCTCCAGCTTTCTACACCAGTCAATATGGTTATAAATTGCAGGTGAGAAGATAAAACACATTTTACTAATTGCAAAGAAAAAACTTGATTTTAAAGTTTTAGTTAAAAAATATCAAGCAAATTAAAATATCTGCATAATTTGTAACCATCGTTAAGTGACATTGGGTTAGGTTAGTTTGTTTGTAAACAAAGGGAGAGATTATTTATATGGAGTGAATAATATCGCGTGACTAACCCATTGCCAGCAGCCGTAGTACAACTAAATCCGTGCAGCTTAGTCATGTCGTTTTATTATGGAATTTACGGTTGCAGGTCTTTTATTATGATCTATTTTCGTTTACAATCTACTACAAATGAAAGTCAATACAATGTTTTAATTATTTCCTTGTGTTAATATTATTTGGTTTTGTTTCAGGCGTCACTATTTTTAAACGGGAACGGCGCCGGCGAGTCTACCCATATGTCAGTTTATATCAAGATCTTGCCAGGCGAATACGATGCTCTTCTCCGCTGGCCGTTCGCCCATACCGTCTCTTTCACACTCTTCGATCAAAGCTCCACGCCAGACAGAGCCTGCAATATGGTCGAGAGCTTCGTCCCAGATCCCACCTGGAAGAACTTCCAGCGCCCATCAAAGGAACCAGATGCACTAGGATTCGGTTTTCCACGCTTCGTCTCACACGAAATGCTCAAGAAGAGGAACTTTGTGAAAGACGATGTCCTATTTTTACGGGTCAAAGTTGATCCCAGCAAGATTGTCGCTGTATAAACCAAAATAGTCACTGTTATTTAGTATTAGATATTTAAAAATTTTAAAAGTCATAGTTTTAGATGTACATACTAAGTGTTAGATGTAAATAGTTTTCCGTTTTCTGTAAGCTGTAAATATTAGTTAGGAGCGCATTTGCAGCATTGTTATCCTTTCACTGAAGATCTCTTGAATTTCATTGCCGTCTGAAACGTAACAAACTGAGCATGTGTCAAAGGTGATCGGCTAATACATACCCGTGCCATATGCACACATTTTTATAGGTCACTGCAAAAATTGTGTTGCCAGAAAACGTTCGCTGAGCATTTTTGGTCGCCTTACACAGATAATAGGCGTTTTAAAAAATGCAGAACTGAAATTTAGATTTACATTAACAGTATAGAAGCTTTGAGACACGTTTGGTTATGTTATTTCGGCACGTCTATGTATATATCTAAGAATATTAAAATATATATTTATTGTATGTATAGAAGGACATGAAAAATGTTTTGTAAATATAAAAACCCTCGTTTAACAAGCTGGAGTTAGACCAAAGTGTTTTGATGACTTTGCGAAGAAGAGATGTAAAATAGACGGAGCAAAGTTATCAACGCAATAAAAGGCGGCCAAGTCGTGAACTATTGTGTAAGCGTTTTTTTGATTCTAATATTTTGTTTAAGTATTCCCATTTTTTTCTAAATTTCTACTTCGGATCTCTAAATAACGCTTGCTTGAAATTAATCTCAACGGTAATTTTACATTCCAGAGACATTATTATAAGACCACTTATTAGTTGCAACATATTTTATTATCTGTAGGTTAAGGATATTGCCTATCGTGATTATGTAAAGCATTGAGGGCTTTATTTGATAATGTAATACAACTTCTATTCAGGCCATAGTTAGACATTCTGATTATAATTCCAAGAGTATTTTATTGTATAAAAATAATGCTGTCCTTTCCATCATTATAATGTTGGTAAGAGATAGCATGACGGATAAGATTATAATAGTATAGTTATTTATCTTAGGAGGAAAAAGTATAGTACTGTTCATGCCAATGTCTTTAGTATAGGTTTCTTTTAGATTTAGTTCTAAATAACCTAGCCTAGCTAAGAATAATGACAACGAGACTAACAAATAGAATAGTTAGTGTTAAGAGTAGATGATTTACATGATAAGGTGGAAAATATATTTTTTTTCTTAAATACATCTTTTATTGGATTGTCATGCATTATTATTATTAAGAGTTTTCTTTCTTAATATAATCTAGGACTATTGTTACTTAACCAAGCATACTTGTAGTACAAAATGTTTTGAGCTCACCATAAATAGTACTAGTACAGTATTTTAGTTCAAATAACTGTAAGTACTCAATCAAATAAGTTTTCAAAAATGAAAGTAATTGATTCTTAAAACATTGATGAATATGTGTAGAAGACAAACAAAATTTTCTCTATTCTGCATACAAATATTTTACTATGCAATTTTTCTATGAAAAATCTGGAAAATTATATTTTCTCACAGAGGGAAACAGTAGAAATCTTGTGCACAAGCTTCAGTGACTTAAAAAATATCTTACGCATTTTTAAATTTAGTAAAATGCAATACATTCTAGGTTTCAAATTTATTTATTTAAATAAACTATGTTGAGAAACATGAAAGGAAGGCTCTGGTGAGTTTTTTAACTAGATCTAACCTAATACTATGAAATATTAATTCCCATCATTTTCTTTTTGTAAATTGAAAATTTTAATATATATTACATATAGAATGTAAGGTTCTCCAATATGGCAGCCAGCTACAAACATATGACACATGGAAACTCCTACCGGACCTCCCACTATCACAACTCCTTTGAAACTATCAAATAATTATAATGAGATAAGATTTCTCTTAATCACCATAACCCTCGAGAGTCCACAATCAGAGACAGGATACTTATGCAGTTGGCACTGTGCCTATAGTATATTTAAAGGAAAGATTTCGTATAGTATATTTAAAGATAAGATAATCGAGACTTAGCACTATGTATGACTGGATTTTAGATCCTATAGTATATTTAAAGGAAAGATTTCGTATAGTATATTTAAAGATAAGATAATCGAGACTTAGCACTATGTATGACTGGATTTTAGATAAAGTTAGCACAAATCTTACTCTTAAAAACATTTGACACTATGGAAGTTGCAATTATCAAGCCTAAATTTCAATTATTAAGTTTATATTAATATTTTTCTTTTAAATAAACATTTTCCAATTGTGTACAATTTATTAAAAAATATAGAAAGTAAAAAAGACAACAATAAAATTGGTTCTAACATTGACATATCAACTTAACACACACACATCAACTCAGCACAAATTATGCACTTCCCAATCACAGTTTATTTTCACATATTTTGTGAAGTTCCTGACTGGCTGAATGTAGAACTATTCAGTGTTGCTGATGTTGACTTCTTAGACGTCTGAAAATATAGTTATAAAATTAAGCTTCCTGTGCCTTGCTAACAATAACATTTTGTAAAAAAAAGCTTGATAGTAGTCATTTTAGATAAGGGTAGAATAAAAATACCATTTGAATCTTCAGTAATTCATTCATAGCCGAAGGCAGCAGTGGTTTTACAGAATTGATTTCCATCATTGTTAAATGATCCAGTCTACCATAAGAACCGCCAGACTTCATTAAAGCATCCATAGAAGTCCGTAGTTTGGACATTCTTATATCCCATATATCTTTGATAATTGTTTTAATTTCAGATGCATTTGGTATATCTTCAGATGCAGCACCTAATATCAGTTTTGCTTCTACCATATAATGTTCATGGGGCATTTTTGTAAAAAATCTGAAATAAGATAATATGTTAACTAGTACAAAATCTAGAAGTTCGAAATAATAACCAAATTATAAAATAGAAATAACATACTCTAAGCAAGTCTAAATTAACAAATACTTTATAAGCATGTTATTGCTAATAGTTGGTCATTGTTGTTTACAAAACAGTGAAGGTGAAGTTGTATAATCCTGATTAATTATAAAATTTATTTTAACAAACTTAAAAATTATTGGATATATAAAATAAATGGGATTTAGTTGCATGTATAAGAAATATTTACTAATTATTTATTATCTTTATTAAATTGGTAGGTTTCGTTTTCAAAAGCTTTATCCTTACACGAATTTCTTACCTGGATCTTTTTTCTTCTTCTTTGATATTTTCCAAATTATCAATTTCCATCCAATCTGGGGGCACAATTCGACACTTTTGTTTTTGTTTTAACATAACCGCTAACCATAGTGGAACGTTCATAGGTAATCCAGCACGAAAAGGTCCAAATTCACCACAAATTAAGTAGATTTTGTCGTAAGAAAAATTTGGTATTATGCTAGCTATTCTGTTTTCACCTATAAACTCTATCTCATACGGATCCATAGTTCATTTGTTTTAAATACACGACACTACCGTTTATAACCATTAAACAATTCAATTATTAAACATAATAACTAAAAAACAATAAATTTCAGTCAAATATTAAATGTGATTTATCATAAGATGATACAAACAAATAAAAAAAGTTGAAATTTCAAAAGTTAACTTTTATGGAAATTAAAAGTTTACAGTCAATGTCAAATTTTGGCGCTAAATTGGTAATTTGCTATCATTTTATAGTGACATCAAGCGTTTTATTTTTCAATTTTATACGTCTAAGAGTGCCATCTATTAGAAACATAAAATTTCTAACTACCGTGTGCTTTATGTTGTCACCTAAAGAGGGGTGATGTTATTGTAAATCTGAAGGCATATTATAAATAGAAATTCAATTAATATACAATTAAAGCTGAAAAAACTGACAGAAATTCTTTAAAATTTTAAATGTTTTGAATTGAGACTTCCGCAATGATCATATTTACCACTATAATATTTTGCTGGTATCACGCCATCTAGTCATGCTTTTCTGTATTAAAAAGTATTAAGTGTTAACTTTGAATGAATACTATAAGAAACAGAAAGAGCGCAGCACATAGTTTTGTTTTTAAACCAAACGGCACTCACCGAAATTTTGTTATTGTATTGCGTTTAATTCGATATAATATGTATTATAAAGTTTAAACCGTGGAAAATTCAATTTTATTTTTATATATTTTAACTGTATATTAAACATTAAATAATTTTAGCCTTTAGATTTCGTAGATTACGTATCTTTTGATTTAGATATACACAAGATTAGCACGTTCATTTTATTCGACGTCGCCGGGGGCCTTTATTTTATTTTACATATGATTGACCTATATGATATAATAAATATACCTTTTACAAACTATGTTAACAAATTTATCGATACACGGGTTCTAATCAAAACCATTGATTTTATTTAAATACTAGTCTCGTAGTCTACAAGTATCCAAATGGCGGACTGAAGCAAGATAATAATTTTGACGGTCCCACGATCGATGCAAATCGCTTTGGCAAAGTGCAAAGTCCTAATTACTAGCAGTAAATTAGGGTGGCCGGTTGACAATGTCGCAGACATCTGATATTTATGGAGATTTGCTGAGCGGACTTCTAGTTTCTTTGTTTGTATGAGAGTTACGGAGATAATTCTCATGCTATTGCGCTATATTATTTTTAGTTTTATCCAAGCATAGGATACAAATTTGTACGTGTTCCATCCGTACACATTTTTGTTTAATGTTGTGATATACCTACTTAAGGCTTATTTAACTTCTTGTTTAGATGTGCGTGTGTGTATGAATCTTTAGTATGTTAAGTATTCTTTTGTGCAATAAATGTACTACTAGAAAAATTAGTAGACTATCGCTTAGAATAAAGGGTTCTCTCTAATTAAAATCAAATTTTATAGGATGCACCTATCAGCATATAACTAATGGAGAGTAGAGATACATTCATCGACAGTAAGCAGGCTAGGTGTATTTATGTATTTTGTACCTATTTTAATTACACACACACACACACACCCATATATGCTTAATGGTCTCATTGCAAATCAGTGCTGTGGTCACAGGGCTTGCCTAGATTTAGCGAACTGAGTGAGGCCAAATTAATACTGCGCACTACTATATATGCGGGTTATTAAAATTGTCATTCTATTTTCAGAAATGATGATAAATAAATCAAACAAAGAGCATATTGCAATAAAAGGTGGTAAAATATGAATCAATTAATCAAAGTTTGGCTAGAGATACGACAGCTTTTGATTGATATATTATAAAATAAGGGTGTAATAAAGCAATATTTTAGTAGTGCCTGAAAAAATATATTATAGTATAATTTGTTTGAAAATAGAACTTTGATCTGACAGAGAATCGGTGTGTCGAGAGGGTATATCTCGAAATAACTACAGCCTGCCCATCGGCCGATGTTGCTGGAAAGACGCCGTAGACGCCATCAACGCAAGCTCGTAGTGACCATGCCGCATATAGCGGTTGTATGTTAAACTGTTCAATCAAATTAATTCGCACCATACAGTACATTATTTACCCACCTCCCAATTACTGCAATACATAATCAATAAAAATTTACGACAAACCGGTGGCAATAGAAACTGTTAATCAGGTGTGTCTGACGCCCCCTATATCGTAAACATCCACCCGTTGTCATTGCCGGCGAATCGGCGCATAATCGTAAACCAGCCATAGTGCGAGATTTAACGACAATCGCTTATGTCCAACGTTAGGTGCGAAACACCGGCAATGCGTTATAAATTAGCGTTAATAACGGAAACGTTTGTAGCGTTATTGGTGGCTGCTGTCAAAATTATGTTCGCATTTTGAATTTTACGCGGCAGTTATTTAGTCTGTGGTAGGGCGGTGATTATTTCGTGATGTGTTTATTTAATTATGTTCTGCGCTATGTAAAATTTAAAAAGAAACTAAGGCCTAAACTAATTCAAAACATTTCAATTTAGATTTAATTAAATCTTAAAATAAAAACAAAATAGGTCAATTGACCTATTTTGTTTTTATTTTGAGGTTGGTTTTCGTAAAAATACACTGAAATACGCATTAAAATCGAATTATGACAATATATAGGATTAAGTAATAACTAATAAACATCTAATTACCATTATATCCCGTTAATTAGCTTTACCAACATTATTGTACGTAATTATATCAGATTGTAATTTAGGGGATTTGCTATAGTAAATAACATTAGCTATGCAGGTGTGAATTGACGTCGATTGGATGAATAGCAGAATTAACAGATAACAGTGATTATATAATTATTATGAATTGCCACAGGCTAGACAGAAATTACATCTTGTAATTGACAGTTACGACTTTATGGTCTAAATATTGATTGGTATAATGGTTATAATTCCTATCGTGGAATTAATATTATTACTATCCTAACAAACACGGTACTATTCCTAGCCTCTTTTTATAGTAAGACCGCACCGGCCATAAGTTAAAAAAAAACTTGTATCCATAGTAACGAACATGGTTCTATCATGAGGCCCAAATCGTTACATATGGTTGCCTGATGTGGTGGAAAAAGTCATTTTTGGGCACAGTTTTCTTTTCACCCGCGTACATTTTAGCTATAATATATTACTCCAAAGCGTGGAACAATGAAAAATTTATCATTAATTTTAAATAATTAAATAGTACTACTATCGTTTTCCTTTCTTCACAAGTCATTATTAACATCCCGTCTATTTATTGAGACTACATAGGAACGGGTCACGTAGTTTTATTGATATCAGCGTACATAATAAATACTATTTGTTAAAATATATACTAAAATTGTCATTTTAAATAATATTTGAGCTTAAAACAATTTTGAGCTTCTATTAAAAGTTGAGGTATCATAAATTGATTCAAAGCTTTACATTTATCATTACTTGTGCAAATCAGGTCCCCAGACGCCTCTCGCCTCACAGCGCACGTAACACATAAAATTAGACATTAAAATGTATTCGAGCACAGCGAATGGGCAGAGTTCCTTTCAATTACTCATCCAGAAATCGACTAACTTCTTGAACGATTAATTTCTGATAATCATAACAATATATCAAAGCCACCCTCAGTATCTACTGCCTATTTATTATGATTGGGCTATTTATGAAAACTACTTCTGCGTCTCCACTTGCAAGCAAAATCTGCTGTCATGTAATATTAGAAGTAATTGTAACTTCAATTTCTTAGGTGTCTTCTAAATTAGTCATTAGCTCAGCTTACATAATTATATCTACGATAATTGAACGTACAACTTTCCGATTATACGCCAAGTGTATCAACCATCCAATGAGGTGGTAGTTGTATTAATTTGGACGGCTATTTAAATACTTTCTGCAGTTTATTGATTATATAAAAAGTAAAATAAAAGATAAAATATTACCTTCACTGTTGTTTTATTTCCGGTACCTGTTCGTTATAAAAAAGGCGCATTTTTCAATAGTAAAAACGAGTTTTATAGATCAGTTTGTACGGAGATTATAATCTTAATTTTGAGTTCAAAACTTACACCAATACATAAGACGTTATATTAGTATAACATATGTAGTTAAACATAAGAACGCGAAGTTTAATAAAGTTCTTATCAAGGCTCAGGCGCGGTGGCTAATTGCTGGATGCTAAGTGACCAGAATAGTTTCGGCTTCCGGCCGATAAGCCTAGTTGTAAGTTGTGGAACTCGTAAACGTAGAAAGCTTTTCCAAGTATAATTCAGAGATTTATTCATATTATTTTTACAAAAAATACTTGATAAGTGAATGATTGATTCACAGTCAGAAACAAATAATTATTTGTAATGAAGTGGGCTTCCATTTTGTATTTGTTTCTTTGATAATTTTTATTTCTTTTATGCCAGTTTATTCACAATAAGATTAATTCATTTAAAATGTTAAGTTAACGACTCTAACTATAGATGTAGGTGAATCATTTTTAACTACAGAAAAACGCTAATCAACATTATTAATAGGATTTATTTGCGAAATTTCCCTTTTATATTAATTTACGTGCAAGAAAGTGCGCTCGTAAGAATTAAATGAAAAATAAAATTCTCCATACATTCGTACTAAGAGTTTACGACTCAAGTTATATCTTGAGATAGGAAAAACTTTTGTACCGGCACAGGCCAAGCGTAATCAACATAATTCATTAAATAATGAACGAAAATACGGATTATTCGGAAAGTTTGCAGTCGCCGCTTCATACTAACATTTATGGATGATACCGTATTTAAATTTGAGGTAACTTATATTGTTTTTATGCTTTCTACTTTGAGGATCTTTGGAAAATGATAACAATTATGTTGATATATATTTGTCTTTATGAAAACCATTGCATATGTCTATAGAAAATTGGCGTAATGCACTATTTTTGCAACTCTATTTATTTTTATCCAGTTCCATTAATAAAAAGGAAATAAACAATACAAAGGATTTTTTAGGTTTGTAAATCATTACTCTGAAATAAGGAAATTAAAATAATAAAATTCGGGGAGAATGCTTAATGTCGATTATATCTGAAAAATATCGTGAGGAAACAGTCGTAGATCAAAAAATCGACAATAAGGCAGAGAGAACTGGTTACTGAGTTGAAATGCTAATATTAAGAAGACTTTTGTATGGTATATACATTTATATTTCTTATATATAACAGATCACGCTTTTGTTATACTGAATATTAAAATAAAAAAATCAGTGGCGCTACAACCTCTTTAGGTCTGGGCCTCAGATTTCTGAATCTGTTTCATGATCATTTTTCAATCTAATAGGCAAGTAGGTGGTCAGCCTCATGTGCCTGATACACGCCGTCGACTTTTTGGGTCTAAGACATGTCGGTTTCCCCACGATGTTTTCCTTCACCGTTCGAGCGAATGTTAAATGCGCACACAGAAAGAAAGTCCATTGGTGCACAGCCGGGGATCGAACCTACGACCTCAGGGATGAGAGTCGTACGCTGAAGCCACTAGGCCAACACTGCTCAATATTACATGCAATATTACATATTCTGAATTTTACATCGGTAAATTAGCCCGTTCAATTTAGTTAACGTTATTATTGAAGTGTTATTGACAATATAAATAAGGTCTCATGTTATTGAGGAGATATTAAAATGATTTTTCCTGGTTTTTTATTCGTGGGACGCGTCTACGAAATTGGGTTGTGATGTAGCACATCTACGCGGTTACGACGCTACGGAATTTGTTGCAACACACGACCCTGCGATGATAGTTTTTGTTTGCATCTTTATTTATTTGATGTCTCCATTACAATAGATGGTGTTATTATCAACATTATATCGTGTTAACTAAATTGTTCTAACTTTATTAATTTTACTCATTGTAACGTATGTGGAATTATTGTTAATTATTATTATTGGCTTGATCCTTTGGCGTTGCGTAGAGATGTGGGGTCACTCTGCATCTTCTACCGCATTTACCATGGAGAGTGTTCAGAGGAGTTGTTCGGATACCTGCAGCTGAGTTTCATCATCGGACGTCGAGGCAGAATACGAAATTCCACCCGTATCACCTCGACGTCCGACGTTCCACAACTGAGCGTTTTTCAAGGCAGTTTTTGCCGCGCACCACCACTATGTGGAACCAGCTGCCCACTGAAGTATTCCCGAACCAATTCGACTTAGGGTCCTTCAAGAAAAGAGCGTACCAATTCTTAAAAGGCCGGCAACGCACTCGCGAGCCCTCTGGCATTGAGAGTGTCCATGGGCGGCGGTATCACTTAACATCAGGTGAGCCTCCTGCCCGTTTGCCCCCCGTTCTATAAAAAAAATATAAAAAAAATATAAAAAAATATAACAACAATTTTAAATAAAGAAAATTACACTTGTAATCAAACTTCTGTTTGTACGTATGATTGTTAAAAGTTTACTTCAATAATCGTTAAAAGCGGACTTGGGAATTGCTTCATCATATGGACATGACATTGAAACTAACAATTTCTATAATCGAAGCTTCAACTGGTTTACATTCTCTAATTAATCAGAATTAATTACATAAATGACACTTAAATGAAGTCATAATGATGCAACACTTGTTTAAAGTTAAACGTCGTTAACGATTGTTAATGTTTTAATCTTAAACCAAACACATATTTAAAAAATCTCAACCGGAATTAGCTTTAAGTTCAATTTGTTGTTAAAAGATGGCGTACTGTTAAGCAACAAATAAAATATGGACGGAGAAGTATCAATATTCGGTGTGCTAATGAAAAATAAACAAAATTTCTAACAAAAATAAGAGACGAGCTAATTACACAAGGTGGACCCGAGATTAGCATAGCACTAAAGCCACGGATTTATATGGAAGCGTGATATTTCTTCACCGACCTAGCTAAAACCGCCATTTTTCAACTTGACGAAGCCTCTTTGTTAATCTGTCACGATGAATGTAGGTAATTTAATTATGTCCTTTTAAACTTGAGTAAAAAGTCCATTTAAACTTGTATTTTTGTCAATGAAAGTAACTTTAATCACTCATTAATTATATCATGGTAAAAGGTCAGTCTATATGAAGGGCCTTTTTAAATATTCGCTTTGGTGACTAATTAAATAATGATTGTATGACATTTGTATACAGAAAACTAGTTCATAATAGTTACTACTCAAACCTTTTTAATTTATCGCGATACATAAATTAAAAATAATGAAATAAAATTAATACGAGTAAAGAAAACCTAAGCAAAAACGAGGTACGCTTCGACATCCGTCGTGAGGAGGTCGTCTCCATAAAGGGGAGAAGCGGGCAAAACTATAAATTGTCCTTTAATTACCCCCGGGCAGCGTCACATCATGGATCCAGACAGTTTTATGACGATTTACGGCACATTTCGACGCGGGGACCGGCCCGCTTTGGGATTCCAAGCGTCCACTCTAGTAAGATCTCCTTCACCCCGATGCAAGGAGTTAAAACAAGGCAGTGGCGGGTTTGAGCTATGTGGGGTGGCGGGTCATGTGTGTTTGGGTGGTATACGTCACCTTTTAGACTGGGGGGTTTTAAGGCCTCCAGTTCTTTATGGTAATGAAATCTGAGCAGGGTGACGTGCCGAGGTGATGCTTGTGAGAGTTTTTGTTGTGCCCCCCTTATTTATAGCACGTTTGAGGGCGGCAGCTTCGAGAAACTTCTGTGAATGTAATGTGTTCCGCCTTCTTTGCTCTTGATGGTTGTGTACTCATTCAAGAAAAATAATGTTATTTTTAATATCTTAAGACAAGACCCTTGAATGCCAATTTGTTTCTATTACCATCACTAGTGCGGATGTTTGTAAATCAGATAAAATTTAAGGTTATCTTGATTACAATGCATGGAATATTTTTTAATCTCGTTGTAATATTGTGAATGCTATGTTTCTGGCACTAACTTGTGCTTTTGAACGAAATGAGTGCAATGTTTGAATACATTATCATTTTTTAAAAACATGTTTCTTCAAAATAATAAAATTCGACTGAAATTTAAAAATATCAAAGGTATATACAGCTTACTCTTACCCTTTCTACCAAAGATCGCGTTGTAACAACATCGTATTGTGTATTTACGAAGTACATAAAATAAATTATGTAAATCTCGAAAAGCAATAAAGACAAAACCATGATATTATCCAAACGCTCGCACGGTATCATAATCGTTTAACAGTCAATTTTATTTGTCGATACAGTTCGATTCAAACCAGAGTTTATAAGCTATAAACGCGCAAACAGACGTTTCGGCGTAACATAAAATCAAATCAACAGTTATCCTGTGAGCCTACATCACAATCAGGTTTAATCGCGTATGTGACAAGTTGGCTCGTTCAACCCACCGACCATTTAAGTGTGAACTATCCTGTTGTTCCTGTTTGTCCTTATCTCCCCTTTAAATAGTGTGACGCGCGGGGCGTGGGAGGCCAGAATACGGTGGTGGTTTGGTAACAGCTCTGCGTTCGCTTCTCTCTCGATATAGCGCCGAGTGACGGACAAGTATGCATTCAAATGGGTTACTTAAACAGTTCTACCCCTTAGAATAAACAGCGTTCTCGATTCTGGGTTCTCGACCCTGTACAGAATTTGTTGTGGAATGTACGAATGCTGCTTGAGGGTTAAATTGCATTTAATGTATAATAAACTACGTCAGTTTTGATTGAACGGATTTGATATTCGTATAAACCGTTTGTATTGCTTTCTTTACCATTTCTTTTAATTGTGAATGTTTATATTTGACTACCGTTTTTAGTATATTAAATTAAAATCAGGTATTCATTTAGGTAAGTGTACATTGCACTTATGAACGTCAATAAAGAAATGCATATTAAATGCTTCTAATTTTACATTTACTGCCAGTTCTCAAATCAAGAGCGTAGAACGGACGAGAAGAACTGGCAATAAACTCTCAACCACTCTTATTAGTAAACTGAAACAAGAATATTGATATTCGCGCTATTAGAACAGGAAAATGATAGGGGCGCCGTGCTAAACTTAAATGACACTATCCAGATGTGGCTTCAATATTTCTGAGCCATTAATTTCCTTGGGAATATTATTTGGAACATAAAAACAAATAAACAGCCATATTCCGTGATAGATAGCATCGGTCCCTCTGTAATGACGGCGAGTGTAATAAAAAGTGGCGCTCGTCAGGATGCGGCGTTCAGACGGGATTTATGAGTGGAAAGTAGTGTTAGTGGAAATGCTAAGGGTGATCTCTGGCTGGCAATATTTCCCGTAAAGTATTTTCATTTATATAATGAAAGTTGGTGAAAGAATTTTAAACGGGAGTTTGCATCAAGTTTGTATGTCTGTAAATTAGTACTGAGTATAAAAAAATAAAAATAAAATCAATGGCGCTGCAACCTTTTTAGGATTCATAGCCTATATTCTTGTACCTGTTTCATGATCATTTGTTAATCTCATAGTAGGTGATCAGCCTCTTCTCTGTGCCTGACGCACGCCTTTGACTTTTTGGGTCTAAGGCGAGCCGGTTTTCTCATTATGTTTTTCTTCACCGTTGGAGCGAATGTTAAACGCGCACATAGAAAGAAACTCAATCGGTGCATAGCCGGGGATCGAAGCTATGACCTCAGGGATGAGAGTCGCACGATAAAGCCACTAGGCCATCACTGCTCTAAAAAGATTATTAAAAAAATTACTTGTATTTTTATTGTATTTTAATTATTTAATTTTTGTAATATGTATTTATGTTTTTTGTTTACCATAATTGTCATATATTTTAGAAAAGATAGCTTGTAACATATACTGGTATACCTACGCATTATGTTTGATGTGTGTGATCTTTAATAAACAAAAAAAAATTGAAATAACAAAAAAATCAATAATAGTAATTTATTTTTGCGTGTGTTTATATAATAAAAGTAAATAACTGTGCTGTTGTTTTTGAAATTTTTAAATAACCTTCGGTAAGTTCTGCACACATATTACATCTACGTAAGTGAATTGTTCGTGGCTATTATTTAGTTAAATTTTCAAATATATGTGATACACCCCAATTTTAATTTAAAATAATAGTTTAAAACAACACCCTCAAATAACAGCGATTACATACGCCTCTAAAATGGCGATAAAACCGTATTATCTGCCGATACCGCATCTCAGTATTTCGTCATAATGCATATTACGTTTCGGCTGTGGTTTATGGCATAATGCAGGCACGGCGTCTTGTTTTGCCATGGGGTGTATCAGCCGCCACTAATGTGATTTTTTGACATGTTTATGACGTAATATATTATACTAATTGCCCTGTTTAATCAAAAGTTATTGGCATTTATGTTCTGCTGCTCAGGAAATCTTTGTTTAATGAATAAAATATTTATATAACATTGTAACTATCAATATAGTTTTGATGATATCTTTAAAAGTATGTAACTCTCTAACGAATACTTAATACAATGTCGAACTATATGTTAGACGCGAATTAATGCAATTTACAATCATATTCCGTTAAATCGAAATTCTTAAGGTTCATTTAGAAACTTCATAATCGAATTAGCTGTCAAAAACTGTAAATTTGAGGAATAACTGTATAAACTTTGAAACCATATAACATATTTATTACAAAATACGTTTGTATCTAAAAGTTAAATGTTTTTTCTTTACTATTCTGAAGTTATGACTTACGACGCGTCTTAAAAACTTTTATTTGATAACGTAAATACAGATGGCGCCATAGCCGTTCCTCAATAATAAAACTTGATGACAATAGAGCAATAAAACGTTGTTTTAAGCAGATACCAGCTTTTAGCTTTAATATTATCCATATTAAGTGCATACGCGTCGGAAATGGCCGTACGAAGCAATTAGATATATAAATAAATTCACTTTACATGCGACAGATGGCGGTAATGCGGCAGCCATCTTTGCGAGCGTATAGGTGATCTAATTAGAACCGGAATATTTGAAATTTTGTTGTTTATTAATGTGTTTATTGTAATGTTTATGTTTTAATGAAAATTTGAATAGGATCTTATTGTAAGGATCTAATAAGGAGGCTTTTTAATAAGATAATATTGTTCTTACATTTTCAATAAAGTTAACTCGACGGCGTCATATTAGAAGTCAGTGACTCGTGCCCTTCTAGATTAATTAGTAATCGTACCCAAGAGATCACAACCATAAAAACAAATTGTCTCATCGTCAATTGGAAAAGACAAACAAATCCGTAAATCGAAAAAGGCAATAACAATTCAAACGTGCATTAGAACCGTATACATTAAGCTCCTAATTTCCAATTAGCAAGCAGGTAGCGTAAAAAGACGGCATTAGAGGAGCGTTTCCCGCCAAAAGGTCGGGCCGGCCATCTTGTTCGACCGCCACGTGGCGTTTGGAAAAGCGCGCGTGCAAATTATTGTCTATTCCTGCATATGTGATGTTGTTTATGGAATTAATTTCGGTCATTGTGCTTTCGGTAACGTTTCGTTTTATCTTGTTTATTACGCAATTTCCTCGCGGTGTTTTACAAGAATGTTTGTTATTTTATGACGTTTACCGAAAACAATATACAGGTGTAATTATGTAGATTTACGCAATATGTTGCATTCTATCGGATTATAATTAGTTCTCGTTTACTAGTTGGTTAACTATACGTTATATATTACTCCTTTGCAGACTTTGTGGCTTAATCAAAATAAGTTAAAGTAATTATTATCAATATATGTGTTTTACTTATGTTATAATTGGAATTTTTTGCTTTACAATAAGCAAAAACATTACTAGTAAAACAGCAGATTATGTATTAAAATTGATCAGCCCACTATCGAATATGTCCACGTATAAGTAAAATATGTGTATGTATAAACCATAAGGCGAGTCTGATGAATTTCTGTACTAAAATAAACACTTGCTAAACACTCGAGGAAGGCGATGTTACTGACTGTTACTGTAATACAGAAATATTTACTAAATTACCACCAAAACGAACCAGGTGGAGAACGGACAATAAAGGAGGTCATCACATTTGATGTAATTACAAAAGTTTGATACGTTTTGTGGAAAATTAGTATTTTGTGGCGTGACTGTGTAAACCTGTGATTACTGTTAACGAACGACATCCATTCCTATAAAACTTGTGTTTTAACTTTTACACTAGTGAATATTATCCATTAAACGTATATAACTCACACTTATAACCATATAGAACTGATATATAAAATGCAAGTGTTATAATTGTTAAATATAATAATTAATATAGACTAACTTTGACAATATAATTATATATCTCTAGTAATAAAAGTATCTAAGGAAATAAGCAATCAATACTTATGAATTACATATTTAATATTCAGTCGAGAGTACTGGAACCCATAAAAACAACCCCAACTTGAGTCTGGTGTAGCATTCTTGTTGACCTTTGCCCCAATCGGGACCCATTAATATCTATACCATATAGGTAACTAAACTGAAGAAAATGAAACAATAAAAAATATAGGTAACTACACAGATGATAATATAACAATCGTACATCGAAAACATTCTAGATATATTAATATTAAAATGTTTGTACATAATTCAAATATCTTTTAGCAATTTTGTATAATTAAATAACG